GTGGTGGTGCCTTGTTAGGTTCAAGGCCATCACAAGTACCACAAAATCCACCAATAGGATGGCAGTTGCATAACTGGCCTGAGGAGAACCAGTGCGGTTACCCGGATGCTCCAGAGCTCGGCTGTTGAGCCTTGGCGTTACTCAGACTTGGTTAATTGCTGCTAGCAAGTTGGATTTTTGCATACATATACGGCTCTCGAAATAGTATCCTCCAAAACTTTAACATGGCATTACTTATTTAGTCAGTAGTTGGGCGAAAATTATTGTGGTACACTCCATAGCCATTTCGCTTAATCTTATAGGTTTGGACATTCGACTCTTAACTTCTGCTTCCAGCAGATGGCATTCTCATGAAATGGGGCTCCTGAAAAACGGTTGGCCGGATGTAGAATTTCTCAACTTGAACGTTTTAAGCGCGTAATTCCTAAATTCTTAGCGGGTTCTTGGTAAGAGGTCCTAAATTCATTTAATAAATTCACTTAAACACCAAAGCAGCAATGTTTCATTACCGTCCCATTATTATAAGATTTTTTAGGCGAAATATAAACTCCTATTTGTCTCCATTAATAGCATTTTTGTTTGAGTTCAAACCACTCCCAGTGAGATAATAAATCTCTGTCCGCCATCAAAACATTTTGCCCCACTTATTTGCTCATTGACCCTATGGCCATAAAACTGTTGGCTTATCTATTCGGTACCAGCAAAATAAGTTCAGCTTGCTTTCCCCGTACATAATAGCAAAAAGAAAATATTTCCGTGTTGATTAACCTAATCATCAGTCTTCAGTGTCTGCTGAATGGTTTACTAAACAGAACAGAGGCGATGATTCCAACTTGTCTTCAGGCAAGTTTTCTGAACAATTGGGACCTGTTTATTGTTAATAAGGCTTTAAATAGGGATCAAAACAATGAAACCAACATTTGGCTGGTTTGTTAACTTCTCTGGTTGCATAATTCTTGCTGGAAGAAACAGGTTCAAGTGGCGTTACGCGAAAGGAATACGATTTTGGTCGTATGATCCAGAAAGTGGATTCACACTTGGCACACAGATGGACAATTTTCACCAACCTACCTCATGAAAGGGTAATAGGATTCTAAAAACTCGATCATTTCTTCTTTTGGACATGTGTAAAAGGGGGAACCGTACGGTACCTCACCTCCGCTTCACAAACAAACATACATAAACAATGACAGCTGCAGATGTCGGCTTGACCTCCCCAAATCCTCTACATTAAAATGACCAATGAAATGAGGATAGCTGCCGCCTCGATGAATCAGAGCTTCATCTTCTTCCTCTGCTTTCCTTGTTTTTGGAAAGTTTTCCATCACCAACAGAGGGATGGTTTTTGTGGAGAAGGGAGCTGGGCAATGGAACAACTTCACATCAGCCTCTGAGAGGGCCTCAGCAACTGCGCATCTTAAATAACTTTTTCCCCTCCTTTTGAGATCAGCGCCAATTTTGCAAGAATTTTAGTTTTTAAAGCTGTCTGCAGATTATAGCGTTATTAGTGAATCACTTACAGTGTAAAAATGAAACACATTCCTTGAGTTTTTTGAATTTTCTCCTATTCAAGGAATTGGGATGTGTTGCTGACCTTGATCCTTCATTACATCGAAGGGTAGACCCTACTGAAAACGCCTCCGGTTTTTGACTGGATCAAAATATGCGACTTTTTGGATGAAGGATTATATCCCACCAGGGAAAGCTGAGATAGCCCAGCATTCCACCAACGTATCTACAAAGTGACAACCTTAAACTGTCCTTTAAATGAAGAGCATGACCACAGGTAGATTATTTTCTGGCCACAAAAATGATAAGATGACCTATATATTCGGCGTGGATCTGTGAAACCCAAGTTACTAGGAGGTAATCACTTCTACATACCAAGCCACGGTTGTGATTGTAACAAATTTGCTTGTAAACCTTATTTTCTTTCCAAAAAGCTACCGAAGTTAAGCACCAAGGCTAAGTTAATCAGCATATCCTTTCATATCCTTAGTATTCGCCTATTTCAGGATCCCAAAATGTTTAGCAGCAATATTTCAATTGAATACTCCAAAAAGGGATTCAATTCTTTCTTAACGAGGAGGAAGATCTGGTTAAAGACATCCGTTAGGACAAATGGTTCACATTTTCAAATTTGCAGTCCACAAAGTGTTCTACGTCTAGAAGACCTGAATAGGAACCGCATTACTTCCACGTTCTTTATTCCCCATTTTTTTCATATTCAAATTCACCAATACTGAAAAATCTGCCTTCCAAGTTGACTGGACAAAGTGTAAATGGACTTATTAGTAGGGCTACTCAGTTTAGACAATGAGAGGAAAAAATTTGCAAATCTAAATGCTCTCTAAGCTGGCCAACTGGACTGGCAGTTCGTGGTTAATTTTTTTTGTGGTAACGTCGATTCATCAAAATAGTTCAAATTGTTTCACGTGTTGCACTTCCCATTTATCAAACAGAGCATATAAATGGTTGAATTTTTCACTTGCAATTCCTGAATAATTTTCCACTTTAGTCTAAACAAATGGCCTACTTCAACACCAGTGGACAATGCTGGGGAAATGAAAAACTCACATTGCTTAATGAAGATTTAGGTTGGCATTTTTCAAATGAAAGCCTAAAAATAACTTATCTGAGGTGGAAATGGCTTGAAGCCTTCGGTTTTGGGATTTGTGCTTTCGAAATTCCCTATTTTGTTTCAGCTCCTTGGCAAGTTAGAAAGTAGCACAGGATCATTTTTAGCTTGAATGTTAAAAACATCACCGTCAGTACCCTGAGTAGTGCATTTACACCTCGTGAATCTTTCATGAGAGTCGTTTGTACAAACACTGAGCGGTGTTTTTATTGGCTTTAGATCTTTGCCATTATTACCAAGGGATTTTGGAGCGAGTTGCTTTAAAGGTATGCGAGGTTGAGGTGCAATTGAATGAACTAAGGCTATGCGGAAACCTAAATTGACGGGAGAACGTAGTCACCTGCATCAAAAATAGCAGCACATTAAGAGTGGATTTTCAAGAAGCACTATATTCGGGTTTATGTTGAGTTTTTTTTCTAATTGATGGAGTAAGTGGTAGCCATTCGGTTGGTCCGATTTGTGACAGCTTTCATTGTCATGGCTGGAATCCAGAGGAACCAATTAACCACTGTAAGGCTTCTTCTCTAATTTGACTAGTTGGCATAACGGTACCTTTATTTTAATGGATGCATCTCCGATTCTTCTGCTGATAATTAGCAATCCTAGATTTCATTCTTTCGAACGTAAGGCAAGGAATTGCATGAAACCACTTTGAATCTTAAACTCGAACTCCGTGTCTGTCTTTCTAACCAACAAATTTAAAACAGTGGCTCGACTTTTACACGCTGGACGCCTCTTTGTTGAAACTTTGAAGCGAAAAAGTTTAGGGGAGGACTACCTGGGTTTGTATTCTCAGAAGTCGTGGTTGTTGCATCACTTTCATCCATCTGTGGTGGTTGGTTAATTTGATAAATTAGAAATCGGACACCTAGGGCAGAAGTAACCTGCTTACGTGGAACATGATCGGGTGGCTAAAGAAATTCTTGCGGCTTTTGGTATACCTGGTAGCATTGACTTGTTGCGGAACCACTTCGAGGAATCTGTAAAATGCATCGAACTATTTGCGAGTACGGATTACACAGAACAGACGGACATCGGTCTCCCGGTACGCTGCTCCTCACTGTGTTCTCTACCAGTTCCCTCCTGTTTGGAACCCTCAGTAAATGTCGGCTGAATCCAACTAGGGTGATTCGGGTTTTTCTACATTAAAAACTATGTAGTAGAGCTAGCCATCCAGAATCTGTTTTTGAAAAATTTGGTTCTTTTGACGAACTCGCTAAACACGTAACAAGAAGGGAGTTCAATAAGTCTGCCGCCTCTTAGTAACAGCAAATTAGGCATTGCTACTGATTGAAATAACATGAAAGTATGGAATGAAGGCATTTTTTTCCTACTTTATATGAGCACATAAGCAGCTAGTTTACATCTTCAACGACTGAGGAATTTATGGATTATTCTTGCCAAATGCTTTACCGGGTGGTATGAAGCATCAAAGACTGGGCACGTGTTTGGCACTCCCTTCACTTTATGCGTCATCTTTCGAATGTTTACAGTCGCATGAGGAGAATTGACCACTGCATTTCACCACAAAGCCTCCATAGCAGTGCTCCCCGTAAACGGTCCACATACCATCCATCCATTCGTAGATAGATGGGCTTTGTGTGTGTGTGTGTGTGTGTAAAGGGTCTCATTCGCCATTGCTCACTAGGATGTGTTTACCTACTGAAGGACAAACAGTTGTGAGTGAGGCCTACCTACTCATCTCAGCACAATTCAAGGGATTGCAAAAAAATCTCCATTTTCAGAAGTAGTCAGAATTGGTGGATTGTTCTTGTAGGAAAGAACAATGCAACACGGCACAATTCCCCCTCATCCCATGTCGTTGTCAAACTTAACCATGAGATTTACACCTTAGCTGGGACGGAATGGAGGGTGGGCGGAAGACTGGACGAAGAATTTTAGTTCATCTCCCTTCTCCGTGTTCTCCAAGTGATGGATACTATCCATTCTTAGCACTGGGCTTAGACAGTCACAAGATCACTGAATGTACGGCCGGGAAATAAGAGTTGGGATAAAATGGAGGTAGCTACTGTTGGGTTCTTCTCAATCTTGAGAGCCAAAGTCGTTTATAAAACAAATTTGCGGCAAGTTTGCATCTCGTCGCCAAAGGAGGTCTCTCCAGTTTATTTGTGCTCGGGTGTCCAATAACGCCGAGAAGTTCCGTGGAATGGATAAATCTCTACAAATACGCCTTAGTGTTGTTTTCTAGAACTCGACACAAGCCCACCACATACGCTTCTTGAGCTGGAAGACGTAACTCCGTCATTAACTTGAAATACTCCTTCATGAATAGTTCCTCGCTACAAGGCTGACCATTCATAAGATTGGAGTTGGTTGTATAGAACAGATCAGATCAGATCCCCCTAATAGATGCTACTCTTAGCCGTTCTGAATTTAGCAAGTAGCAAAATCCATTACTGCAATGAGGCAGCAACGTTTTGCAAGCGAAAGAGGAATCCCAACAAATCAAATCCCATTTGGTATTTTATTTTAATGCCTACAAGAACTAGAACCAGCAAGATATTTTTACCCACAAATGAAATCTTCACCAATATAAAAGCAAAAATAAACAGATAGCCTAAATGCAAAACCTGCGTTGAATTCTCACTTTTCGACGTTTTAAGTTCGACTTGGATCGAATGAAGATGTGTGTCATTTCACGAACTATGCGATGTAGTACTGATGTGTTCATTTTTATAGTTATCATTAAATTATTGAAGCTTAACCACCTGTGTGTTTGCTTAGATTTGTTTAAAAATGCACAAAACATAACAAAACTGACATTTACAATCCAACTACTGATAATAAGATTGGTTGCTCTTGACTTTTAGAATTTCTCGCTGCGATGAAATGCAGGTGCCAATCCTGTGCGAGTCATTTCTACTCCAACTGCACACCTTCATGATTTGGATCCGTTTGCGTTGTCTAAGTATTTTGAATCAGGAAGCTGCAGCAACTCAAGGTTATAAAGTGCGGCGAGAAGCGGTGAATTGTTTCTAGGTGTGGGTCAACTTACTGGACGACTATCATAAGCACTTGTCATCCTTACACAGACAGAGGTGTCGCCGCACCTTTGGTCTACCGCTTTCAAAGGGGCAGCTGAAATCATAGATGCTTATATTTTCACTAGGCCAGCGATAACGAGTGAGTGACCGTGTATGTGGTCATGTGCTTGAGTGTCAAGAAGATCAGCTTCTGGACACACACACACACAGGGAGGAACTCCGCCTACGCAAATACGGCACCTCCAAACCAGCAACAGATGGGAGGGCAGTTTGATTGGCAGACTTCTCGGAATGCCCCCTCTGGCCAGTCCGTCCTGCAACACTTCGAGTTAACGAAGAGGGGAGATGGGATCACGCTTGCGTCTCGTGCAGCATTGGACGCCTTTAGGGACACCCGCTTACTCCCCTTCCTCGCCTTTTCAGTCTCCAAAGGCTCTCCAACCAAATGCCACTCAGTTGTTTGCGCTGTGCACGTTAGCCAATTTTTTTTTGTTATATTCATTCACCAAGGCAGCTGGTGCAAATTTTGGGAGGAAATAGAGAGTGGGCATGAATTCCGCAACAATATAAAGGGTCATTTTTAAATCCAAGGGTTGCATACATCTACGGGTATTTCAGAATCGCTGCAACACACCTCAGTCCTTGTATTTGGCAACTTAAACGCACACAATAAATACGGTATTGTCTATGCATTCTACAATAAATGTTATGGTACTTAAGAGTTTTCAGTAGAATATACCAACCTTAGATTCTACGAGGGTCAGAGGCGTCTTACCGGGAGTCATGTCACCAAATCGGGACTCTGCTCTCTTTAAAACCCTATAATGGGAAAGGACGAATGGAGCAATTGGACGTTTAACTGAGTCAAGTATTAAGACAATATTCAGTAATGAGTTTTCACTCATTTAAAAGATGGTTGTGGATTTCAGCGCTTAAATAAAATTTTGAAGGAAATACTGCTCTTGCTGGCTTAACTGAACACTTTAAAATTTAACCGCTTACAAAAGCTGGAAGTGAAGAGTCCCAATGAGCTTTGTTTGGTGCACATGGCACATCGAAGGACAGCTAGGTGAGATATGTCTCAAAGGGTAGTACCCTTCCATAAAATTCGTGGGATCTCATCTACCCTGAAATGCAGGTGAAACTATTTTTTACGCGAATATCAAAAATCAAGCAATCAAGCGAGATATTGTGGGAAAAATGCAGAGTATCTTCACTGTACAAAAATTTGGGGACGTTTTGTCCTATTTAAGTGTAGTTTGTGCACTGAAACTGTGCTTTTATACAGAAACAATAAAGAAAACTTACACCTTCCTATTCGATAAACTTTCTAGAGCAAAAGAAGTAAAATAAAAGTTTGTAGGGTTCATTTGACACTAAAAAAGGCGATATTTAGAAGTACAGTGTAAAAAAATCGCTTTCTCAATTGTCCTTGCAATGAAGCTAGGAGTGGGAAAATGGTGGATTTGTGCAATCCTTGTCTTCTCCTGACACGTTGTGATGATGCTGTCGGAAAAAGTGGAGAGGACATACCGCAATAACTGAAGTAACTGAACATGTGGCAGCATTTGTGATCCAAATGAGGGGTTGTTCATGATTTGCTAATGAATCTCCCTCCTTCGTTGTTTCTCTAAGAGAAGAAGCTTCCTCTTCATTCCAAGTTTACCCTGAAGTAAGGCTTTGCCAGTTTCGGGCACGGATTGCTACTATATATCATGAAGGCACTTTATTATGGAACGGAGCTAATAGAAGCTTAGGAGGACCTCGAAAGAACGACCATGTCTTTGAGGCGATGTAAACACCAGTACATCCCTCTTAGGAGAGTTCCTTGGTCATAAAGTCAAATGAGAAGCATGGTTAAATGAAGAATCACAGCTTAAGATAAAACACTTTAAAGTTTTGCCTTCAATAGAGCTTTCTTTTCGAAGGCAGGCTTGCGTTTATTAAAAATTAGGCAGTAATTTATACATCTTGGTTTGAAATTTTCTTAGTTAAGCTTTTAACTCAAATGCACTTGTGTTCCGCCTATACAAAATAAGGTTTTTGATAATTCACTGCCTTTACTCAACGCCCACTTTTTTAGTGATCTCATAGCTCTTAAGGTTGTAATGCCTCAGTTGTTTGCTTAACTCTTGGCTATGGTACCGGGTCACTTTGGGCTCTGTGATTGTGCCTCCTTCGGGCGGCATGGCCCCTGGGCCATGTCAGTAGTGTCCACATATTTGGCCCGAGTGTTGTGTCTCCACTCGCCTTCAGAGCATATGCTGCGGATGGGAGAATCTATGACGCCCCCTAAACATAAGGATAATAAATGAGGCCCACCGTCGCTGAATACCCCATTCCCGTGTTTATGCATCCGCCAACGACACTACGCGATCACGCGATGCCTCGTCCATTTCTCGACTACCTGGGTAGAACCTAGATGGATGTGGCTAGACAGCAAGTCAAGGAAGAAGAGACGAGTAAATTGGCCCCCACAAAACCACTTTGAGGCCCAACCTCTACTAAATGCCTTCTTTTGGGCCAGGATTCTTAAGAGTAGCAACAGACATAAGAGATGGTTAACACATTCCCCTCCCCCATATACACCTTTTTAAGAAAACGAAACTCTAAATCTTGCGGATTTGCCAAGGCGGATCACTGAGGCTAAGGTCAGGTGCCTTCTCGTTTGCGAGCAAATTCAAAGATTAACGTAGTTGGTTTATGGCTGTTTTTCTGATGAGCACTTCCTGACCCGTCTTACCGTAAAAAACCAACCCCAGGATGCTCTCCACTCTTTATGAATGTCCAAGAACTCATTAGCCAACATTTCAGCGGACGCTCGGTTAAAGTTTGGGTATGGGAAGGGAGTTTTGTATTTCGATTACCAGTTGCTCAATTAATCGCCTTATGGCATTGAATGTCATGCGCCGTCTTAGGTGCCATCAAAGCTGTCACCTTGTTGGACGGATAGAGAACCTGCAATCATGCCAAATTGATGAGGTGGTGTTAGACTTTGAGGTGGGAGACAGCACTAGCATAATTTACACAACCACCATACCGACAAACAGCTCTCTATATTACACAAAATCAGGCTGACAAAAAGTCAGCAGAACAGGTGCGCCTACAAGGACACTTTCTGGACAAATTCTCGTAAAGCACAAGTGACAAGAACACAGGAGACTGCTGGCCTCTTTCAGTTGCGATGTTAAAGTATTGTATACAAATAATATAGGCACAATTGCTCGGCACCAGTCATTGATGCATTACATTTGACAAGCAGCGGTGACCTTCAAGGGTGATTACTTTATTTCTCTAACATCAATTCACAAACTATTTCACTGGTTTATGATCAGCCAAATTTCTTAAAATTTGAAAAACTAATCGGAGTCCTTAACCTCCTGTTACCAGTACTCATTTAAGAACACTTTCATTCGAACTTTTTTTTCAGCATCATATAACGGTTTGCCTTCACGGGGTTTCATCCATTCCCCAACTTTCTGTTTTTTTATAGATCTAAATGCAAACTAGAGGCACTAGAAGAAAGCTTAAGGCAATGCAAGCCAAGAGTTTACAAGAATTACCTACTCATTTGTTCAGAGTTCATCATCTGTTCCAGTCACTTGGCTCCTCCACTCCCTTATTTGGGGTAAGCTAAAAGTAAGGAGGATGGTAGAAAAATCCTTCACTTGGATCCCTCCTAATTAGCTCACTGGCCTCGATTTCACTGCAAAAAAGTAGCTACAGAAATGAGGTAGACACCGCGTTCTGGAACCATGGCAACGGAAGCAGTGACAAAAACTGTATTAACGGACGTCTGAACCGACGTCCGTCACGTTAACAGACGTCTTAGTCAGCAGAGCGGTCATTTGGCGAGCAACCTCACCTTACTTCACCTGTATCTACACTCAAGGCGAATGCGCCGAATTTGCCGAATTTGGACTTTTTGTTCGCAGATAGTCGAAATATTTAAAAATGTAGAATTCAAAAGAAGATAAGATATTTAGGTCGACTGGCGAAGCACATTTGTGGTGGGAGGGAGGTTTCTTACGGTACCAGCGTTGTGTGTAATCAACATGATTGTGCAGACGGTACTGGGATGAGTATCACCTTTATAACAAGATGTCGCAAGTCAGTGACAATAACTTAAACATGAAATTTGGCATTTTATCCTTGACACAAAGTCCGGAATATCACAGTTAAGAGAATACGCATGAATCAAGCGTTCGGGAAGGGAGAAAGTGTAAGCGGAGGTGGGGAATGAGTCTGCGTCTAGAGCATCAGCTTTTACAACAAAAGTGTACAATCTTGTGCAGATGGATAAAACAACACGCTTTTGCACAGTTCCTACCTTTCTCCACTAAACAAAAGGAGTAGCAGGTAAACAATTTTCTATGTGTCCTGGAGCTAATCTTAACACTTGGAGGAATGCGAATTTCTCCCTGACCCGTTCTCCTGGAGGCGGTTCCTTTACTCCGTCTTCAGTATGCATCCAGTTTGAGAAGTGTCTTTGAAAATCCGGAGGAAGCTGGTCAACTTACACGTTCTCAAAAGGAACTGGCAAGTGTAGAGTTCCATGCAGAGCTCTCTCGCATTTCGCAATATGGGCATGTCGCTTCAACTCCGCTTCAGTCCTCTTATTCCACTGAGGAATTTAATTCAAATTTAGTGAAGGCGCATTTAGCTATAATTATTAACAGTTCTGTGGCGGATTTTAGAACCGTAACGAATTGGCTAAGCCCTGGGCTCTCTGTTACAAAGTATGCGGTCAGCACCTTATTGAAGAATACAAATTCTTCCGTCGGGTGTATAAGTAACTTATACTTATACTGTATAAGTAGTTGTGTTAAAAGATTTATTTCAATATATGATAGAAGTCTACATTTGGTCCATTTAAGTGTTAATGAACGCTTTAAAAAAAACTTAGTCTAACATCTAAAGTTCCTAATTCATCCAAA